AATAATCTTGTTGTGTTGCATTAAGGAGCAGAATAATCTTACTGCAACTCATCTTTGATTTTGGTGACAAGGAAGAGGTTTAGACTTCAGAGCAAGATGGAGACGAGAGAGATGCAGCGTCATCCAGCACCAAGCATGGAACCCAGAATCGTCTCTCCTCCGTTGTGTTCAGTTCGTGGGAAATTTGTTTAATTTTTGGTTGGATAATTTGAATTCGAAACATGGAGCATTCAATTTTTCTCCATGATGCCCTTGTTACCGCGCAGCTCTGTTATGCTCCTGCCACCACCCACCTCCGCCTCCTCCCCCGAGTTTCATCATCATCTGCCTTGCCTTCTCTCGTCCTCCCTCCATTGCACGTTTTCTGTCTCAATGCTTCAATGCCTCCGAACGTGTTCCTAGGTTTCGTATGCCGCCAGCTGTTGATTGCCCGCTTGTAGGTTGAACCCCGTCACCTCATCCGCTTTGATGACATCTTCGATCGGAAATATAGATCTTGCTACTGCTTCATGGGTGTTGGTGTAAAAGTCATGATTTTTGAACCGCCATTGATCTGAACGGTCAGACCGTTTGGTTTGAAAATTATTTAGACAATCAATTCCATTTTACTCCAAACATAATTTCTGACCAAAAATTGTTGAATCCATTAATGATCCATTAATTCAGACAGTCAAATCGTTTGAACCATTCAATGATTTTTTATTGTTTTTAAAATTAACTACAAATTTCAGGGTGGTATCACAAAAGAATTACTAAATGATAAAACATCTTCTTCCATTTGTTTGGACGTGTGTTGTTCTTCTTTCTCCTCCTTCTACTTCTCAATCCTCCCCACCATTAATTAAACTTAATTCTTTTTCTTTGTTTTATTTTTCTAGGGTGTTCTTCTTTCTTGAGAGCAATTAAAATCAACCAGTTGATAACTACAGCTTGCAGAGACAAATTTATAAAAAGAAAAAGAAAAAAAGGTAAAACAATTCTATAAATTTGATAAATAATAAATAATTAATATATAATAATCCTATCACTTGCAATATCCGTACTCAAATTTTTACTTGACATTCTATTTTATTCTCTAACCCGTGTTCAGCACGGATTACTTCGCTAGTGAGCTGCTACTATTCTGAAATCTGTCTAGGTGTTGTTCCTCCCAAGTCCTGAATTCATGCAATCTTTTAACAGCAGATACCGCAGATGTTGGGGATGATCAATGTACTCTGTATCCTCTTTATGGTTTTTTAGCTTGTACGAGACAAGCCCTAAAATCATCCCATATATCAGTAGAAATAACCCTGTTCTGATTAATAATATTCTTCAGATAGATGTATGATAATTTCAGCTTTCCTGCGACATCAGGATTCAGCTGAATTTTCTGAATAGATTCATAGATTGGTTTGCATGTTATCTATTTACTGAAGTCAGTTTTTTTTAAAATTCATTTCTATTCGTGATAATAATATCAAATCAAAGACATATTTAGTTTAATTTATCAATGTCATTTAATATTTGAAACCAATCCAAATCTGAAGTCAGTTTTATCTATTTATTGCTTTTCTCAGTTTTGCAAATAAATCAAGTACAAATGTTTAGTGAATAAATGCAAAGCCCATTGTTTCAAATACATACTTAATCCATTTCATTTGCAGCCCAATACAAGCATCAAAAAAATCTGGAGAGAACCAAAAGACAAGGGGCCCTCTCACTTGACCACATTACTTGGCCCTCACTCTCAGATTGATCGATTCTATTTCCCCGAGATCATATTATCCCTATTATTTCTCCATTTTATTTATCTTTCTTTTATTTTCTTTTTCTTTAAGTTGAGGATCAATAATTATCCACATTGTATATATATATATATATAAGACGATCCACGTCACCATACCTCTCCTTGCTCCATTACCCACATCCTTCATTCTCCTTGACTCTCTTTCCTCTCCCCTTCCCACCATTCCCATTTTGCCAATTCAATATCCTTTCTCTCAATTCCTTAATTAACTCAATATGCTACCAAACATCTCTCTCTCTCTCTCTCATGATGCCATGTCACCACCCTTTTAATATTGGTAATCAATTAACGTCCATTACATTTCCATATTAGGATAGTTTATCTAATTAGTGAGATATATATCTTATAGAGTAGAACCGGTTCCTTACAAAGTTGGATAAAGTATTTTTGGAAGATTTTGAACAATCTTCCATTTCCATATTCCTCTTCCATTGCCAAGAACAATATGAGTTGCATTAAAATCTTGAGTCAAAACCTGGTAGACCCCATTCTTGGGTTGTATAACACCAATGATTCATATAATTAACACTAATTAATTTAATTAGCTTTATTTACATAATTAACAGTAAAATAGTTAATTATAATTTTCCATAATAGTTACTTAATTTATTGAATTTTTAATACTTTAAACCTTTAATTTATTAGGTTGCTTAACAAAACTTAGTTATATTGTTTAATTAACAAAATTACTTAGAGATGGCAATTTTGCCCATCCTCGTTGGGTGCTTGACCTCCCTGACCCAATGGGATTAATAGGGCAAGGGAGGGGATGGGGAATAATAGGGATCCCTAATTGGGGATGGGGATGGAAAGTGAAGTCCTTGCCCTGCCCCGACCCCAATTATATGTATATAAAATATTATTTACATTATATATAAATCAAAATGTATTAAAAATATTATTTATATTTTAAAATTTCCTCTATTTTAAGTGAATCTATTTTCCAAAAATACCTTTAATTAAAAATTTTAATTAACTTTAATTACATAATTAACAGTAAATTGGTTAATTTCATTATCTTACTTAATTAAGGAATGAAGAGAAAGGGTGTTGAATTAGTAAAATGGGAACAGTAGGAAGGGGAAAGGAGAGAGAGTTAAGGATGAAGGGGATTTGGAGAAAGGAGAGTTTTACTTTATATATACAGTATAAATTATTTACAAATATATATATCAAAATATATTTAAGATATTGTTTATATTTTAAATTATTCTTTATTTTAAGTAATTCATTTTTCCAAAAATTACTTTTAATTAAAAATTTTGGTGATTCGGGTCCCCCACGGGAAACCCGTCTAAGTCAAAGATTGGGGATGGAAGGAAACTTTTATCCCTAGTAATGATTAGGGTTGGAGATAGGGAATATGGTCTCTGCCCCAAACCCACTCCATCACCATTCAATTACTTATCATAAACAGTAATTTACTTATTTTACTATTAACTAACAACAATTATTTAAATTTAATTATAAAGTAATAATAATTTATTAACAATAATTCTGATTTAATTAACCTTAAATTAACAATAATTATGCATTTATCATTTACTATGAATTACTTTCCTTCGATCTTATTATTTGGTTTTCGAGGCCTCACTAGTATTATATAACACTTTAATTAACTGTTGGATTCGACAATGATATGGGAAAGACATGATGCCCTAAAAACTTATAACCGACCGACTGATTGGCATAAAAGTGGTAGCCAATGATGTGATTTTAATTGGTCAAAGCCTTTCTGGTATTATTTCTTTTTGGCATTGTAGATTTTTCGTTAATTTGTAATTATATATCCAACTTCATTATGGGTAAAGCCTTTATTTAACTTCCAATTATGAGAATTTAAAAAATCCTCCATCAGCCTTTTTGTCAAGAAAATGAATAAAAATGGTCACATGTGCATTATGCAACCTATATTAAAATTTTCAAATTTTCCAAATTAGCCTTATAGATTCATTTGTCCTTCATCTTCTTCATTTGACATTTCAAGAGGAGAAAATGGCTTCTTTTCTATTTTGCTTCTATGATAAATAAGATTCAAAATTTGGATACATATCGGGTCATATCAGTCAATACGTATTGTATCGGGAGCTTCCCGATATGCTTCTATAAAGGGTATTTCAGGGTTTAACCCGGTTTAGAGGGTACGTAGACAGGCCTTAAACCAATCCCTCTGAACCAGGTTTAAGAAAACTACACAAATAAAAGAAATAATGCCGATATAGGCGGATATGCCCCTACCGACATATTAGCGGCATCGATATTTTGAACCTTGGTGGTAAGAGGCTTTTGTTCTAAAGAAATCCCAAGTTCTTTCATTTTAATTTGTTGGGTTTGATGAAAACATAACCCCCACCACGTGTGAAACAAACAGGATAATGAATTCAATTTGGTCATTTTACTTTCCACCATTAATGCTGATTAACTTGTAAAAGTTGGGGGGTGTATGTAAGTTTTGATAATTTAGATAGTAAGTGATAATCACTAGCGTCATGGAATAGGGGTGGTTTTAGAATTTACCCAAAACTAATAAGGATAAATGGACTGTAATCCACCTCAGAAATCTGAAATTGCAGCTCCCTTTTAGCCTATTAATATAGTCCCCAATAAACCGCATCATGCCCGTAAAAGCATCATCAATCTACGGTCATAATTCAGTCCACCCCTAAAAATCTTAGCTTCACCGTAGGGTTGGACTGAACTATAAAAACCCCAAACTAATAAAACATTGAAAAATCTGATGACGGAAATGAATAGAATTCAAATCACCATTTACCATTTCTGAGTACATTTAAGATAAAGAGAAATAAAGAATTGAAGGGTACCCACCAACCATTTTAATTTGTTTGCATTGAATTTAAGAAAAGAAAAGGTGCCCAAATATTAATATACATTAATTTTCATGTTGGTTACATCATGTACCTCAGAACTTGATCTAATTAGAATATCATGTTGGTTCTAATCGAATGCACATTGACAATTGTATAACTAATCATAATAACTATGTGATACACTTGTTTTACTAGACGTGGCCTTAATTAAATCAATCGCTTGGTCAGGAAAAAAGAATGAAAAAAAAAAGAAAAAAAGAAATCAAGATTATTACATCCGTATCCATTTGATATATGGACACGTATGCCGCCAAACCCACGATAAAGAATCACTCAGCAGTTATAGTGTTAGGTCTCTGTGGTTTTTCTTTACCAGAAAAGGATTAATGAATTATAGGACCATGATAGACCTGGCCTCCTTGTTCTTCTTGTAATTCAATCAAGGTCTTCACCACTATGTTGCATGCATCTGAAACGAGCTTCGACCAATTCCTTCAAAAAAACAAAAAAATAGAAAGACAACCCAATAAGATTAGAAACTCTTTGAAGAACCAAAACAACACACTTTATCTAAGGCATAAATCAGTTTAAGTCTTTATGCTGCCCTTTTTTATTCGAGTTAGAAACTGAATTAGATTTTTGATTTAAAGGATTTAACCCTACTTGCTAATGTAGACATTTTAGATTTTTCTGGGTATTTATTTTAAAATATCACTGTGGGATTGTAGTCTGAGAATTTAGAATCAAAATTCATCTAACTCCTTTTCTGGGTAGGAACTACTCTAAGGCTTGTGTTTGAAGGAGAAGCACTCCTGTTTGAGGGCTTTGCTGGTAAAATCTTAAGCTGATGATAGTATAAGAAACATGGAATTATAGTCTGAGAGTGGCGATGGAATCAAAACATTGGATAACATGTTTTGGGTTAGCCACCAGAAGATCAGAGGAAGGAAGATAAGCAGGAGGAACTTACCCATTATTAGAGTTGAAGCTTAGTCCCACCGTGTACTTGGCCTCTTGAAGAGCCCACGTAAAGCGCTGGAGTTCATTGGACGGGCAAGCTCCACTTTTTAAGACCTGTAGTTCAGAGGGTTTGATGTCGCAGAAGATGGGGATAATCTTCTTGTGGGACTCCGTCATCAGAGCCAGTTCGTGAAGGCAGAAGTAAGAGTTGCAGTAGTTGGGAGAAAAGATAGCAACCCCAACCTTACAACTGCGTATGGCGGAATCGATGTTCTCAAACAACTTGTCTCCTGGTTTCATGTTTTTGTTGTCCAAGAAAGGATTGAATTTGAGCAACTTGAGGTGGTGGTAGAGCAACCCAGCGACGGTACGCTTTGTGTCGACACCTCTGTGGTTAATGAAGACGTCGCAGGGCTGAGCAACCATCTGTTGGTTCCCTTTCCGGTAGCCAACGAGTTGGTGGCGGAGGCTCTTGGCTAATGAACGCTGCATGGCTTAATTTGTTGAAGGAACGTAGATAATTAGATAAAATGCTTCTTTCTTTTCTGAGGAACAGACTATACAATCTGCGATTTCTTGTACTTTCAGTGTCTGGTGATGGGAATTTATATTTAGGGGTTTTTATTACATAAATAAAGTTTCAGATTCAGACAAAGACCGTGAAATGTTTGATTTTCAAGATTGGACCTCGGACTGTCGCGTGCATTACTGCATTCGATTTGACAAGATAGAACCAGCAAGAAACATCTTTGAATTTCTTGACCATGTGGGAACGTTTTACTGTGGAATCCTTCAAACACGTCCCAATTATCGCTTAGTCATTAGGGCTACAACTTGGGCAGGCCCAACCCTATGTATTTTCTTTTTACAAGTTGGGCCTGGAGTTTTGGGCTGCAAGTTGGGCTTGGACAAAAAAAAAGAATCGAGACTGACTTAAACTTAGATTGAGCCTGGATTAAGGCGTCAGCTAGCCTGAGCCAGTCCTAGATCCAAAATTTCACCTTTAAGGTTGAGCCTGGTTGATTTTCAATCCAACCCAACCCGTACAAGTTGCACCACCCCTATTAACTTATTAACAAGAAAACCTTGACTGTCTACATTCAAGAGATCACATCAACGCCCTATATGCACATTTGAGAATTCACATCAGCGCCCCACAGTACATTCCGACCTTGTTTTGGGAACATCTGCTATACTCGATATTTCTAATACAAGATCAAAATGTGCTGTGGGACATTGTGGGACACCCCACAATGAGGCACTGATATGAATTCTACATCTCAGCGTGTATTGAGAATATCTCCCTTGTCATTAAGAGATATTTTCAATACATAATTGAGATATGCTGTGAGCTGCTGTGGAGCACACGCCCTGTAGGGCGCCGATGTGAACTCCACATTCAACATCCTGTGCTGTCTACACACTCTTCTATTACACGTAACCCATTTTACCATGCCGTCAAATAACCCCAGATCTCCTGAATATGGTATAACTTTTCCTTTGATGAAACGGAGTTGTGTGGACAGCACAGGCTGTCAAATATAAACAGCCAAAGTTTTTCGCACTAACATGTGCCATGAAGATGAAGGTAGTAGCGTTCATCAACCATATAGTTAGAATTGTGTATTTAAATCCTAGGAACTTTTCAGTTTTCATACGCTATATTAGAATTTGGCTAATTAATACCTATACCTATACCCCGCAAGGAGTTCGGATATGCTCACTACAAAACGCTAGCTACAACCCTGTGTACAAGCACTCGTAATACCTATATTTGAGCGGGCTTGGGTTTGGATTTGCTAAAATTGGAATGAATCCGGCCTAGATATCTGCGCCTGACGTAATGTAAAACCTTTAAGTTAAGGCTGCAACTTGGGTCAGGTTGGCCCGAAATCAATCCTAAACCAATTGAAAAAGTCGGGTTGGGTTGGGTCAGGTTGATGCTTGGATTAGGATTAGGGTTGAAATTTATGAATTCAACTTTATTTCGGATTGGGTTAGGATTTACCCCTCAGACAATCCGATCCAACCTGAATTCAACTCTATAGTACATATCATATATATGTTATATATAATGATATCATACATTGATTTGTTTAGATGCATGGTAGTTGTATAGCCCATACCACATACTATCATTTATTTCTTTTAAAATAATCACTTCACTTAATCATAATTGAAAATACCAAAATCTTAATAACATTTTTTCTGTTTTTTGAATATTTTATTCTTTATCTCCTCTTTGTTGTTTGCCACCCATGGCTTACTGGCCATAAAATATTTATTATAAATTATAATCATTTCAAACACTTTTTTTCCTGAATTTTGTACTTAAAGAACCAATAAAAACATTAACAAACAAATATTAATAAAACATAGGATTAATATATATAGTAAAGTTGAATTAAGATCTAAGATTAAGAAGTTCTACAAGATTTTAAGGGGTGGGAAGAAGGTTGAGTTGGGCCTAACCCGAGCCTAGCCCAACCCGAAGTTGACTTTGGGTTGGGTTGGGTTGGGGTTGAAGGAATTTAGTTAGGATTACGGTTAGGGTTGGTTAGGATTAGGTTTGAAGTTTAGAACTTAAGGTAGGATTAGGATTGGCCTCAACCCAACCTAAACCGGCTTGACTTGCAGCCCTACTTTAAATCGTGTGCCCCAACTTGCACCCCTACCCATAACCCCACAATCCCACAGGGTAAAATGATCAACATAATGAGAAAAAAGAATGCCTCATATATGATTCTCCACTGAACAAAGAAGTGTAGACGAATTGCTGAAATGCTGAATTGGGTTCTTAAATTTGGAACGTTTTTCTCTTTTTTTTTTTTTTTACATTCCACTTTCAACACCTGCATATCATCACTAGCTGAACCGCTGAATAGCCAGGTGTCTCAATGAAAGGTAAATTCATCCAATATCATAATTTGAAACCTATGTTAAATCTTTCTTTGGAAAGTCCTTTTTGGTGTACATTGATAAATTTCAAACCATAAATTGGGATCTAAATGCTGAACTGAAAAGATTTTAAGTTTAAAATCTGCCATTCAGAATTTCCACCGCAATTTTAGACTACTTAATTGCTGAATGAGAAAGTGAATGTATTTCTGTGATTATTTTATGCCTAAAAAATTTTATCAAATAACAATGTTACTCCTTAATTTAGAGTTCAATTATTGTGCATTCATTAATCCTAATTGGTTGCATGTTAACCTTATACCTCAATTAATTTCCCTACAATCTGCTTACTTTTTATTGATTCACTTCTCATAAAATATACTTTCACATTTTACAAAATCTATTTAACACCGCATTCAACCAATCATGTTTTTTACTGCACGGTGCATCAGATGCACCATAGATTTTGTCATGAATTAAGGTCATTTTTAACTTCAAAATCTTTGGATCAGCATTTTACTTTCAACATCTATATTCTCTTTTCAGTTTTACCATCTCATATTTTTTTATCAGCATTCATTCAACCAATCAGGTGTTATTTATCAAAATTCATGGATGGATTTTGATTGGTCAAAACTCTTCCCATACTATATCTTTTCCGCATCATAGATTAAGCCATATTTGCAAAATAGGATTCAATGATTCATGAAGCAGACTCACATAACTGGAATAAGGCTTAGATGATGATGATGAAAATCAGGCCCAGCATGTGCAAGGAAAAAGAAATGTTGGGAAATAAAACATGTGAAAGGCAGTGTTTTTAAAATCTGACCGTATTGGAAAAACTGGAAACCGGTCACTTGATTGATTCTATTTTACCCTAAAACCGCTTTTTGGCTAAAAATCATTAATTTGGTTAATAAACCGTTGACCCGAATAGTCAAACTGTCGAAATGTCAATCTGAACAAAGGTTTTCGGCTGTTTTTTACTTTTTAACTTTTTTTATTTTTTTTTGTTAGAACAGACCATCCATTTGGATCAGACGATCAGACCGTTTGACCCATGAACCAGACCCAGAACGATTCCCTATCCGATCCAATTCTAAAAACCTTGGTGAAAGGGGTGAGTTATAAACTGATTATTTGGGTGCCATGTGCCGATGACCCAATGTTCTTTTTGGTTTTCTTTTGTTAGATGGGGACCCAGTAGTTTATAAATTGATTGTCATGGCCTATGATCCAGTGGTATTTTTTGTTTTCTTTTGTTAGATGCTGATGATACAGTAGTTAAAAGGGTCTCACATCTCCAAATAAGGAGGCATAGGATCAAACCCATGGACCAATTGATGGTGGTTTAGGGCCCTTTGGTAACAGTTGAAGCAGTTACTATATCTATCTTTGTATAGTAACTGATGGTCTCACCTCTCCAAATAAGAGGCACAGGAACTGAGTAAATTTTAAGGAGGTCGGGGGCACCTTAAGGGCTGAAACTGAAGTTTGGTAGGTAAATTGTATATTCTATTATTTAATTATTTTTTATTAAAAGATAAAACAATAAGTAATTCTGTTCAAACAATTTCAGTTGTTATCAAACTGCCCCTTAATTGGTAAGTTTTCTGGATAGATGTAGGAGAGACTTGGGATCCTGTTGCCATTAGGGTTTGGGGGTTATGGATACGGATAATGGTATGGGAATAGTTTTGACCAATCAAAGCCCACTCATGAATTTTGATAAATAACACCTGATTGGCTATCACGTGTTTATGATTCCAGTTGATTGGTCAAAAGTTTTTCAGATATCATATCTTTTCCATATCATAGTCGAATACCACTGGGCCTAGTTAATTTATTTTATAAAATGCAAAGCTTAATATGCAACAGTTACTTGTTCCTCTTAATTCAACAACTTTTAGCTGTTAATTAGGGTGTGCTTTTTTTTAAGTCTTAAAAGCATAATTAATTCTTAAATTAGGGCTTATTTCGGAAAGAATACAAATATAAATATATACAGTGCAAATACATACAAAACAAAACAAAATACAAGGTTTTACACTATGTATTTGTATTTGTACTCCTAAACTGAGCCTAAATGGTCAGATCACAATACATGAAGTACAAATAGTATTAAGACAAGCAAAAAAAAATACAATGTCAACGAATAGACCAATCTTGTAAGGGATATATAACCATGAGCACTGGGAATGAACAACTCAAGAAACCTTGAATTATCAAAAAAGGATTTGCCAATTTATCTCCCTTAATTAGTAGTTTTTTAATTAACTACACAAAACTATATATGTTTAATGATAATAATCTATACTACTTTAAAAAACACGAATAGTCTCAAAAATATTTTTGGAATTTCCTAAGGACAAAATTTATCCTTCTATATTTAAATTTATTGATAAAAATGAGGGCAAATAGGGTAATTGGTTATTGATATTAAATGAGTTGAAAATAAGTAATTTTAATATAATCAATGTATTCAATTCTCTCTCATTAAATCTCAACATTTAAGGTATTAACTTGCATTCATCTTCATTGAATCATATATTTAAGGCATTTTTGTTTCTTCTCATCATTAAATTCTATTAATTAAATCCATACATAATAAATTAATAATTCCAATAACATAAAAACTTATACTTTTAAAATCTACCTAGAAAAAATAGTGTTTTCATCTAGGCGGTGGTAAGAAATTAAACCATTTTGGGTCAAATGGGCCAATCCATGTTGCCGCAATTAAATAATAAAATTCAAAAATAGATAAAATGCAAAAAATATAGAAATTAAAAAAGAAAAAGATAACATTTTTAACATCATATATTCGACATATTAAACAATAATAAGTATGATAAATAAGAAATATTTTTATTAATGATGAAAATGAAATGTAAAATTTAAGACCAATTGGAAATAAAACTATTTTCCTATTCTCTCATTAAATCTCATATCTAAGGTATTCTCTCATTAAATCCTATATTTAAGATATATTTTTCTCATCATTAAATTCTATTAATTAAATCCACAACATTAATTTTAATAGTATAAATATAAATATTTTGAAAAGTAGTTTGAAAATAAAACTATTTTCTTCTCTCCCGGTGGTGGGTAAGCAATTTAACCATTTAGGGTCAAAATAGTTAATAAATAATGACATAATTAAATAATAAAAAATTAAAATAAATAAAATATATGATACAAAAAAATAATTAATTATGTCAAACAAAAATTAAGTGTAATAAATAAAAATTATTTATATAATGTAGATGAAACATATAATTTAAAACTAATCACAAAGCAAATTAATCTATTTTCTTATCTACATGGTGGGTCAACGATCCAACTTTTCAAAGAAACTGATGATATCATAATTGAAATAAAAAATTTTGGAACAATTCTAATGTTATATATCCATCATATTAAATAAAAACACTTGTTAAAATAAAATTATTTTTATTTATGATAGCAATGAAAAATAAAATTTAATAATAATAATAATAATAATTGTTATTGTAATTTAAAATTTTCACATGCAATATATGTACACATTTATTACAAGCACTTAAGTTTATTTTTAATCATATTGTTACTTTTATTAATTTTCAATTTCTATCTTAATTATGATATATCTAAAATTCAAATAATTAATATGAAAAAAACTTTTTCGCATGCCAAATTACTAGTACAGAATAAAGTTTAAATTGTACACAGAAAAAAGAAGTGGAGTCATTCACATGATTATGAATGACATACAGAAAATCATGGATGAGAATAGCATTCAATTCTTCTCGGACATGAGGCCAACCTGCAGGCTGCTTGCTTTCTTCTGCCATCAATGGTGCTTAACTTGAAGTCTAAACAGTTTGTTCAGGTGGGTCTTGCTAAAGTTGCGATTTAAGAAAAAGAGCCAACCTTAAGAGTTATCTAACTTTGTTTTAATTTTCATACAAAAAAAATTAAGCAAGAGGCTTTGGTTCCACTATCTGGGGGTGCTCATAAAAACCGAAAAAACATAAAACTGAATCGAACCAAAAATGTGATTAATCAAATCGACCAATATATATTATAAATATAATTGAATGGATTATTCATTTATAATGTATAATATATAATATTATTTATAATATATTATAGATATAAAAATCAAAGAACCAAATTAGTTTAAAATCAAAACTGGCCAAAAAGTTAACTGATGATAGGACTATCAACAGATTGGGTTTGGGTAGAACCAGAACTGATCTGACAAGAAATATTAAGAAACTGGAACCAAACCAGACCCAATAAGGTCTCTGATCTGACAAGAAACTGGAACCAAACCAGACCCAATAAGGTCTGTAATTTTAGACAGTACAATCAGGTCTGACCCAATGTAATCGGTTATAATAAATCTGCTGAAAATATTATACATTTAATATATGAGAAGAATCGAGTCTGAATCGATTCCGATATATTGGTCAGACCGTGAAAACTGATGCAGCACTATCCAATATGCCTACGGTTCGGTTAATCCAACTGTAAGCACCACTCCAGACTATAGAGACAATTCAATTTACCAGTTACCACCACTCCAGCGTTTCCCGAGAATCGGTCATCGAAACAGGTTATTGGGTGCCGGGTTATTTTGACACGATTCACCTGGTTGAACAGTTCAACTCGAGACATGGGCAGATCTTCAGTTAGACATCCGACTTGGTGTAAAAAACAGTGGGGGAATTGTGACATGAAGAGTCTAATCCTGTAGTCGACTCTTCTCCAGATAGACCTAGTCCAGGATTCATGTTAACAGTTGAACGCGTATCACGTATGTAGGGTGTTCGATGAATGGTGAAATTAAAATAACTTTGTGCTCGGTTCCATTAGCCTTTGACTCAAAAGAAGGATGTCAATGTCCAAGTTTATTTAATGCTTTAGCATCACCACACAGGACCTAATTGTACTAATACTATGCTGATACACTTTTGAGATTATTTCAGTTATATCTTCAGTATAAAAAAGGGTAAATTATAGATAGGTATCCTCTCAAAAATAGACACTTAGGTCCATCCATTATTGTTCCGTCAGTTAAACATTACATAATCTCAAAAATACCCTTCTCGTGTGATTTTGAGATCATTCTATGGAGTAAAATCATCACTAGAGAATGTTATCGTCGGAAAATTTGAATCTGTTATTTGCTGTCCATGTGAGATTGACTTCATGGGGAGATGTTCGGTTACTTGAGAATGATCTCAGAAATACATGAAAAGGGTATTTTTGATATTATATATTGTTTAACTAACAGATTATTAACAGATGGACCCAAGTGTCTATTTTTGAAAGTTCAGGGTATTTAACTGTTGAATTAAAAGTTCATACCTATCTATCACTACCCCCAAAGTACAGGGTACCTATCTTTAATTTACCCTAAAAAAATACTACATTACGAAGAGTACAAAAGTAGCATGCACCATAAATAACAGTGCCTTAGGGCTTAGACCTATACCAAGGTTCAAAATATCAATACAGCCCAGGCGTATCAAACTGTATTGAGGCTCATTTCCCCTATTTTTTTTTAGTTATTTTTTTAAGCCTAGTTCAGATGGGATCAATTTAAGGCCTGTCTACCCCCAAATCAAGTTAAACCCCGAAACACCCCTTGTAGAAGAATATTGAGAAACCCCCAATACAATACGTATTGGCCAATACAGCCCAATACGTATCAAAATTTTGTACCTTGGCCCAGACAAATGATGCTAAATTAGTCGAACTCAGATGTTAGATATATGAAGATAGAACTACAGACGGTATCCATTGTGATTAAGGTGATCTCAAATCATCCAATTTATAATTGAAATGAATATACATAATCGTTAACCCAATCAATTCGATCCAACAAGAACAGTCATGTTTAGCTCGTATAATATACAACATTTTGATCGTTTTTAGCTTAATTAATTAATGGTAATGCAATGGATAAGAGCAGGCTCTTTTTTTTCAATTGTTTTGGGTGAGGTGGTGTTTAACCGATGCTCCTACGAGTGAATTGACAAGGAATCTACTCGATGGGCTGTAGCAGAAAAAGCTTGCTACCAATATGAAGACCCTTAGTTTGCTTGATCAGGTGATAAAGGAACAGTGGAGCAGGTGATTGGAAGAGTCATGACTCATGAAGCATTATCTAAAGTAGTATATTAAAGAATCTATTTTGGTTACACAGAAATTCCCCTGGCCAAAGGCCTATCCAAACGGCATAATACATGTTAAATCATTTAGCAGGCATATTCATCAGGGGATATGAAGCCTTGGGAGTAAAAATGGTGAGGATTTTGATGGGTTAGCCAAAATTTGAAGCTACTGAAATAAGAGATTATAAGCTGGTAAATCTTGAATCCGACGAACATCATCTAAAGAAAGTTCTCTCTCCAGTTGGGTCCGTGTCGCTTTCAAGACCTCCTGAATGAACAAAATAAATATTAAAGCAATATGGTGCACCAAAAAGCATGGCATGCACGAGAGAGAGAGAGAGAGATCACGTTAAATTCCATGTATGAAGCATGCATAGCAAGCCACTGAGCATCCATCATTTCAAATGCTATACAATACAATACATCAAATGCCTCTTCATCTTCTGCAATTAGAAAAAAAAAGATGTGCTATTAAAAAAGCAACATGATAAAGTGGGACCATAGAATACTAAAGGACCTTTTATCTGTCGTAGTATGAAAACTGGTAACTACCTGATAAAATTTTTATGAAGTTTGCTCCTGGGATGCATTTTGGCTTTGCTGCAAATGAATGGAGAGAGAATCAGACAAGTATAATAAATGGCAGGTAGAAGATCCTCAATGCATGTAGCACAGAACATAAGAAAATTAATTTAGCAGATGCAGATTCACAGGCTTACGGCTTTAACTGGATGCAATAAAACAGTAAAACACCCAAAACTGTAACACTCGAAAAATTATTTGCATCACAACATTGAGCAAACTATATGCTTTCTTTTTGAATTTCTATATACAATTCAGGAGAAAGTCATGAGCTTGTTTCCTTTGGCATCTGAAACCATACATAGGAATATGTGTTTATTTCCACTCCTTTCATTAATATATTAATGCAGGTGTAGAGAGACTGGGCCAAACGGGCCCTAGTATCTATTCTTTTATTTATGTAGTGTGTTATTTATTTGTTAGTTAATGGGCCTGTTACTTCTTTTTATAAGTTTATTTTAAGTTCTTGCTTACCTGGCCACCCACTTAAGGGCATACTTGTAATTAACTTAGAAAATGAAGATTAACAAAAGGATTAGTGAGGGGAGAGAAGAGATTATCGAATACTCCTTCCTCTTCTTTTCTCCATCTTCTTCTTTTGTTCTGCTGTCTTCTACCTTCTACTTTTTTCTCTATTTTAATCAAGTTTATATCAGTTGTAGAGGACTGATTTACTTCTGCAGGAAATAAATATTTAACTCTTTTTTTTTAAAAAAAAATCATCATCTAGGCAATGACGCCCAGATATGGATATGGATATGGGAAATGGGGATATATGACTCTCCATTCCCTAATATTCTCAGCATGGATATGGATATCCAATCCAATGTAATATGCTTATGTCAAGCATTTAGATATCGTTTTTTATGCTAAATATCATTTCCCAATACTTATGTTTTGCCAAATTTAATTAAATTTCTAACTTGTGCAACCTTTTTGAAATATAATTTGTTAAAAAATTTCTAACCCTTTGTATTTCAGTCAAAGAAGTTTGGTGCCATCCTGTCCCTCCCAAAGTGGGTGCCTTTTGCTGGGAGGTCTTTCATGGTGCTATTAATACTTGCGACTTGTTGCAAAGAAAGAGACCTGGCTGGTGTCTATCCCCAAATTGGTGTATTTTGTGCAAATCTAATGGTGAAACTGCATATCATCTTTTAATTTCCTGCCCTTTTTCTTGTTATATTTGGGATTGGTTCTTCCTCTTTTTGGTTGCAGGTGGAACTCTCCAAATAGGTCTGGACAAATTGTTTTACTACTTTTAGGGTGCCAAAACGAAGGGGGAGAATAATGTAGAAATGTACGAGGGCTGCTATCCTATGGACAGTTTGAGAGGAAAGAAATTTAAGAATTTTTTAGGGGAAGAAATGAAGCAAAGAGTCACTGATTGAAAGCATCATGGTAAAGGTTGCACATTGGGTGAAATCATTGAGTTTATTCTCGGACATTACTATTGTTGATATAATCAGATCATGGGGCAGAGTAGCAGCTTTGTCATCCTCAAAAAAGAAAATCCTAAGAGGTTGGGTCCCACCTGAAAATGGATTCCTCAAACTGAATTTAAACAGTAGTAGCTTTGGCAACCTGGGCCCTTCAGGAATTGGAGGGGTATTAAGGGATAAAAAATGGAGTAATCCTGGGTTTGTTCTCCAGACCACTTGGAGTAGGGGATTCAACAAAAGCTGAGTTGAAGGCAGTGATATTTGGGATTGGAAAAGCTATGGAGTTGGGGGTAAGGAAACTGATAATTGAAGGAGAGTCTAAAGTTGACCTAAACTGGCTGAAACGAATGGAGCAGACTCCCTGGTGCTTCAAAAATGAAATCAGAAGTTCAGGAGAATTTCAAAGGATATGCAGCTGGTTCTTCAATGGACCCTACACCCCAAGATCAGCCAATGGTTTAGTAGATCAGTTAGGAAAGCAGGGGGTAAACAGGGAACAGTGCTTTTGGGTTAATTTGTAAGTGAGAAGTATAAGATTTCTAGTAACTGATGTCCTTTGGTTGAGTTTGCGTGGGTTGCTGAGGCTACCTAAAAGCTGTAATCCTCTCTGTTTTATTAATAAATTCTGTTACTGATAAAAAAATACCAACTTGTATACTTTAAAAGTTTTAGTGCTATAGAATACATATAGAAGTATTTGTGAAGTTTTTGATATTGTATCCAATAAGTATCATATCTGAAATCAGAACGCTAGGCATGTACAGGTATCCAGGTGCCATAGCATCTAGGTGACACCTAGACAGCTGCTTAAATGCGTAGGTGACAAGGTCATCCCCTGTTGCCTAGTTTTGCCTTGGTGTTTTGACTATGGAACAACTTCCTTGGACACAGGGAGTCAGCGAATCGTAATCCTATGATCCTATCCCCATTCATATATCTTCATAATCTTTATCTGATATTTTATCAATAGCAAGCTTAATATAATAATGAATGGTTAACAGGTTGACAGAAAATATGAGAACTTCTGGGTATCACTGATCACAAACATTTAATCTATTTCATAAATCATATTATTTCATTCAT